AAGAGGTGTGCTACAACAAAGCATTGTGTAGAGTTATTTGCTATGCTATGGTATGTCCAACCCTTGAAAAACAAAAAATCCTCACAATACCTCTTCAATTTGCTGCCATTGCTTGTTGGGTAAACTCAGGCTCATGCTACCTCCGATCCATAATAATCTAAGCATCTTATCTTGGATTTGTGTGTGTAATGAGTATGTGTGTTATCAGTGTATTTTTTTTTTCTGTGCTTCATATTTTGCTTAGATCTACCTCTTTCTCCAAATTAGCAGACATTTGATTGTTAATCACCATCAAATGTAAACCTTTGAACCTAGATAGAAGTCTATTATTACTTTAACATCTTATTTGCCTATTTGCCTGGGAATAGGCATCACCTATTGATTCAATCTTCCTCTTTTAAAACTGAGCACCCAGCTCTTATGCTGTCTTTTTTCATCTTTAGCATTAAATTCTTGAAGTCTTCAAAGTCATCAAAGTGCTTTTGTACTTTAATCTTGTGTGGAAATACTATGGTTGATTATCCTGCTCTTCCTAGTCTAAGACAAATGTTTTTTCTTCCTTAACTGAGGGCTGAGTATGTTTTTATTTTCAGGTTGCCATTTTCTTTTCTTTGACTCCTCATGATTCTCTACCCTGCAATAATCCACTGAGCAAGAGGAAAGGAACAGCAGGAATTAATTCTGCTTTCTTCTGCATTTTCTGGAATTTAATTAATCACATAAAGCTTCAGCCAAGCAACCACTGCACAGTTTGACTGCTAAAGTAAGCAAAGCTCCTTTATGAAAACACCGCCTCCCCGTTTTATTTTAAAACCAGCTGCTACTTTCTAGGATGAGGATGAACGAAGTCATGGCTAGATCAACTCAGACGCTAAACTTTGCAGGAAACAGACTATTTTCCTGAACAGATGGCCACTGCCAGTGAATTTTTATTGTACTACACTCAGTCACGTTTGTGAGATGGGCAGTTATATAAATGTGAGAATGAAAATAAATGTCACCTCCTATAAATGAAGGTGAACGTATGTGTCCTAGGATAATGTTGCCAGAACCCATCTGGATCAGTCACTGGGACCAGAGGTTTAGTCTTCTGAGCTTTTGGACTTGTGCTGGAGCCCATCCTCAGGGAACTTCTCTCTATCAGAATGTGTAACTTCCTGGCTTTTTCCAAATCTTCTGCCAGAGGAAATCTTAAACGCCTCATGTTCCAATATATCCTTAGCCACCAATCTGTTTCTCACCAAGGATACTGTAAATGGGAATGGGTAATAAGATTGTGTACACAGTCTTTCCAAGGTGAGAGGAATCGCTGTGGGAAGGGAATCCTGCTGCTGTGGGAAACTAATAATTGATTTCCCACCTTCTTGTCTACATATAATTGTATTCTTAGCTCCTCTAAGGGGGGAAAGAGGGGAAGGGTTTCTCAGATAAGCCAATCCTACTCAGAAGGACTGTTCTCTGCCTGGCTTTCTAAGTCATAAGCAAATAAATTGCAGCTATGTAATTTCAGAAACTGGGCTCATGAGAGCAGAAAAAAGAATAGAGTATTACTATATGGTGACAGTGGTGACAGCAGCTCAAAGCGATTCCGCAAGAGGATTTCATTTGAAACCAGTCCAGCTTGCCCCTGATCCTGTGGCATCAGCAGTGTTGGAGAGCTAATCCCAGTCATTTCTGATTCCTCAGCAGCATTTCTGAAACGGCGATAAACCTAACCTTTTCCTTTAAAATGCTGTGGCTCTGCAGAGCTGGTGGGCAGTCCATGCCCCCATTTGCAAAAACTGCTACCTCCCTGTGGGCCACCTGTCCGTGCAGATTTTTCACAGGAAAGGTGGCAGAACAACTTTTCAACTTGGATAAGGAGGACGTCTATTTCCCTTTGACAGAGAACAGGTGTCAAGAGGATTTTTAGGGCAGAGGAATAGCTCTTTGCTTCTCACTGCAGCAAGGAGAGTAGAAGATTGTGATGATGAGTCACTATTAGCACTCGGGGGAATGGAAAAAAGTAGTGTGTGAAAATGTACTAAGCCAAATTCTGAAGCCTGTTAAGCCTGTCAGATCAACACACTCACTATAGATGGCATAGCCCAGCTGAGTTCTATTTGATCATTCCCCAAAAGTAATTCCCATTGAGATTTACACCCCTTCTCAACATCTATTCAGTTACAGCGTCCATGTTTTGTTTGGAAACAATACCAGCATCTCCACATGAAAAAACAATACTGCCCTTAAAATGCCCAACAGCCGATACCAGACAGTGCATGGAATTATGAGATGATGGAATTATTATGTAACTAAGTCAAAAATTAAACTGATGAACTGGGAATTGGGATGATGAGTTTTTATCCTAGATTGTTTTCCTTTAATTTTATTTGTCTACTTTCCTTTTTCTTCTTCCTCCAAATACTGTTTTGATGCACAGGCTTAGGCAGAACCCCCTAAGTCTTCTCCAGCAAGATCCACCTGGTACCAAATTGTCTTTAGGATGCCAGGCTAAGAACTTTTATTCTCCCATGCCTTTTAATAATGTGGTAGTCGGTGCAACAGTGATTTTTGTTTTTGCTGTCGCTTCTTTTTCCTTCTGTTACTACTTTAATGTTGATCATAATTTTTAATCTTTTTGGATTTTTGAACTCCGCAAAGTAGTTTATAAAATTAAAACTTTATTAAGTAAAGCTACCTTTTCATTGTAAGTTTTAATTATTGTACTATTTTTACATTGTTAGAGGAAGATGGAGCTATCTTTCTCATGAGTGGTTGCACTAGTGTGCCCTACCACGATGCCTTTTTCAGCACGGTGTGCATGGTTTGTGTGAATGTCAAGGGAGTACTTTGTGTAGGACAGTAAAAGGCAAAGCTAATAATGCAACAGTCATACTGATGTCCTTAAAAGATCCCTCTATGAAGGCTATATATCTTGACTCAGATAACTAAGAAAGAGGCCAAGCATTTTGCTGATATCACACTGGTTTAGATATCATGCTAAGTCATGAAATGGCTTTTCCTATGTGCTGTATGAACTTCACACGCTATCATGACCCCAGGCAATTGTGGCCTGCTAAATTATCTGTGATAGCACAGTCAATAGCAACAATGAGTACTGAGAGAAGGGCCATTATTTAAGCCCATCAGCATCTAGGATCGCCAACATGATTGTCAACGTCCAAGTATGGATATGACACAAGAAGAATCATCATCTAACCACCCATTGAAACACCCCCTACATAACATGTAAACAGAGTGGCAAGCTCTTGTGCCTTAAAGCTGCATCAGGTAGCAAAATCTGGGACCAGGGATTGGGCTAAAAAAAACTCTTCCAGATGCACGCTTGCTCATGCATATGTATACCAGACTAGTATGAGCAAATTAGCAAGAACAAAACCAACGATTATCAAAACCAGTTGTGGCCTAATTTTCTTAACAACCTTGCCTGAAGACTACTGATTAATAGCTTCTCAAGATTCTTTTCCCAAGACTAAACATTTCCAGTTCCCTTAATCTCTTTTTTAGGACATAGTTTCTAGACTCTCGGTCATCCCTGTTGCTTCTCTCCAAACATATCTAAATTTGTCTCAATCCATCTTTAATTGTGGTACCCAAAATTGGAACCTGTACTGAAAGTGAAGAATGATTAATGCAAAAAAAAAAAAACCCTATTTCTGATAATGCAAGGTAAAATAAATTTGTATTATTTATATTGCAGTCATTATTTATTGAATTTATATGCCTTCCATCTCAGTGATAATTCAACTCTAGACATCATGTTATATGACTGACTCACGTTCAGTTTGTAGTAACATAACAACATACAATTCAATTTTCTTGATGAATATCATTGATAGCTAGGAAATTCTGGGAACTGAAGTCCACCCACCTGGAAAGTTACCGAGTTTGAAAAACACTGTCCTAATTCCTACATGGTTTTCCCTCGACTAAGAAACAGACCTTATGATTCACATTCTGGAGGATGGTTTTTGATTTTGTAAATGGAAAAGGAAATTTAGCTCTTCCTTCTGAGGTGGAAGGACTGAATTGTTGGAAGAAAAATCCAGGTCCAGTTCCAAGCCAGGAATAAAATGGAGGCTGATTGGAAAGAAAAATTCTGTTTATCGGTGAACAGAACCAACACACACATAGCGTTCAGTTCTGGGACAGCTGACAAAATGGAGTTGAAAGTTTTATCCCTTCTGGATTCCTATGGGGTCATGTAGGAGTCATACAGTCATGGCTGTATAGGCAAAAAGGGAAATGCAAATTCTAGGTGTTTGTCTGAGCTAATCTTGTCAACCTTTGACTTGTTGCTTATGTGAAGTTTCTGTCTGACCCAGTCTTTCTGAATGGATTACCAAATCTGCATTTCTAAAAGCTAGCCTCTTTAGTTTCTGCTTGGGGCAGGGAGACTGGGCTTGTTTCTGCCTCCCTTAACATGTTTTTTTTTCCCCATTTCTCCTTTAGGGGAAATATTTTATTCTGGCTTTTTAATATTCCCCCCAATATTTCATTCTCGAGGAGGGTAGGTCAGTGCTGACTTTCTACAGAATCTGGTTAAGGAAGAAGAAGAAAAAAACCCTCTGAGCATCCATAAAGTAAACTGCGGACTCTCATCTTTGCCCTTTGGGATCTGGTGCTCTTCCCCAGCTATTTCCACCCAGAAGCATCCACAAGAAAGAAGTTTATCCAAAATTAAGTCACCCCCCTCGGATCTAGTCCAGCTACTGCTTTCTAAAATAATTGCGATTCTCTCATCCAGCCCTACCTGGATATTTTTATTTTTCTCTCTAGACCAGGGGAGGAAGAGGATGCTTATGGCTCCTGCAGGGATCGGGCCGCGGAGGGATTTAGTGTGAAAAGTAGTGGCTGGAGGCGCCGCCGAGCGGTTGTCTTGGCAAGAAGCGGCGGCTCCAGCATCGGAGGGTAGCCATAGAAACCGGCCCAGCGCCATATCAAGCTGGATCCTTCCTTCCCCCGGGACACCAGGAGGGAGGAGGCAGAACTGGCCGGCTCCGCTCCGTGCGTCGGTCAAGCTGCGTCAAGGGCTGCAGCGGTAGCCGCGCGTGCGGTAAAAGCAGGAGGAGGAGGAAGCGCCAGAGAAGGGAGGCAGAGCCTGGAGGAGGCTCTGGAGGAGTCGGGCCTTGGTTCCTGCCAGAGGAGAGCAGGTGGGGCCGCGCCAAGGAGAGAACAAGGCGGCAATCAGCCCCCAGGCTGGCGACTCGAGCCTTGCGGGTTGGAAGAAGCGCGCCGGGGGAACGCGGGGTTTGTCTGAAACGGGAGCAAACCCGGAAGATACTCCGCGGACCCTTCACCGGAGGACCCCTGGTTCCCGCTTCTGCGAAATCCAGAAAACCCGCCTTTCCCTGGCTTTTAGATCCTGGAAAGACTTTGGCTCCGATTTGGATTTTGCATTTCTTATTCCTGGGATTTCTGCTGCGCCGCCTATCCGTCCGCTCACTTTCCCATCCATCCTTATAAATGGAGCGCGCTCCTTTTCCCCCCTGTCTAGACGGCAGGCGCTGTTAACCCTCCGGGCTTTCAACTCGGGGTTTTGCGCGGAATTTCCTTCAAATTGCGCGGGGATTGATGCGTCTCCGCGGGTCTAGTTCGGTGCAACACCCCCAGCAGGGTTTTCCCGAATTGCAGATGGTTTTGATCAATGCATTCCTTTTATTTGCAATTGCACCAATCCTCCAATTTTACACGGGGTTATAAGACTGTCGGTTCACTCTTTTCTGTAACGCGGTGTTTTTCTCTCTTTTTAACTGGATTGCCGAGCGCTCCCGGTGCGCTAATCTGGGTTTCCCATATTTTTTGACTGCAGCAATCCGGATTAACGAAACTGTGGAAGGTGTTTGCTGGTTTTCAGAGCGATGTTGCCAGGGTCTATTCAGATCTCTGGGGAGACTTTATCCAGTGCAGAAATTCGGGATATTTGTGAGAGCTTGCGGGAGAACTCCATCAAACTGCTTTCCCTCCGTGGTTGCCAACTATCCGACAGAGATTTCGGTCGCATCTGCAAGGGGGTGGCAGAGTCTCATTCCCTGGCTCAACTTAACCTTAACTTGGGGATTGTTTCCAATATCAATCGGGTCAAGCAATTGGCTGAAGCTCTGAAGACAAACCGCTCGGTCCAATCTTTATTGTGAGTAGGCCCTCCATTTAGTACCAACCGAGAATGTTGCCTCTTAACTCCGGTGGTGCAAATCCTGCAGGGCAAATGCTGTGCTGGTTTCTTGAAAAGTTGTGTTTCAGTGACGTAAATGGAATTTATTTTTTCATTTTATTTATTTTGATTTGTCAATTGCTTACAAGATAATAGGTAGAAGTATATACATAATATGAATACATGAAATGGGTACATATAAGAAAAATAAAAGAAACAATAGGACAGGGATGGTAGGCACATTGGTGCGCTTATGCACACACCCCTACAGACCTCTTAGGAAAGAGGTGAGGTCAATAATAGACAGTCTAAGGTTAAAGTTTTTGGGGTTTGGGGAAGAAACCACAGAGTCAGGTAGAGTATTCCAGACATTGACCACTCTGTTGCTGAAGTCGTATTTCCAGCAATCAAGTTTGGTGCGGTAACCTTGAGTTTGTATCTGTTGTGTGCTCTTGTGTTGTTATGGTTGAAGCTGAAGCATTCATTGACAGGTAAGTCATTGCAATGTATGATTTTATATTCAGTATGTATGAATGTACTCAGGCGAAAATGAGGGCTACTAGAATTCCTTAACGTAGTTCAGTTATCCTTTCAATATTGTTAAAATGGTTATAACTCCAAAGAAACATATTTTCCTGTCCTCAGAGGCAGAATTTGAATGCATTGTAAAGAACTAGAGGTCATCCAGTCCGAAATATTGCTAATTACAGCAATTGAATTCTGCAGGGTAATAGGTAGTCTTTAGTAAATGCCACAAATTAGAATGTTTGCTATTTGAGCTGGAGCTGATAGGTCAAAATCTAATACATTTTAGTAGGAATGCAATCTCCCTACCTTTGTTTAAGAAAGCATGAAAACATAGACCGATATTTTGCCATTTTGATGCATTATGTTGGTGAAACAAATGAACTTCCAAATCTTGTATTAATTTTCAAAAGTCAGTCCTCTTAAATTTATTATATTTTTTTAAAAAGCTGCTTCAGTCCCTATAATTGCAGGTTGTATGATTTTCATTTACCTGATCCAAATACAGTAGTACCTTGGTACTTGTCATTAATTGGTTCCGGAAGTTGTGATCAGTACCAAAAGCTATGATTACTAAATATATTTTTTCCAGAAGGAATAATTAAAATAAAATTAATGCATTCCCAAACCAAGGACAATGCACATTTTAAAGGTAATATATAAAAAGATAGGGTTGTATATCATTACTTTGCATGAGAAATAAACCTAAAAGCTAATAGATTGAATAAAATAAAAACTTTGGCAATAGCTTAGAGTCCTTATATACTGCTTTACAGTGCTTTACAGCCCTGTCTAAGCGGTTTTTACCGAGTCATCCTATTGCCCCCAACAATCTGGGTCCTCATTTTACTCACCTTGGAAGGATGGAAGGCTGAGTTAACCTTGAGCCTGGTGAGATTTGAACTGCCAAACTGCAGTCAGCTGGCAGTCAGTGGAAGTATTACTCTCTTACCACTGTGCCACTGTGGCTCAATAGTACTTTACTTATACTGATGAGGAAAACAAATGCAAAAAATATACAAAATTACCACAGAAGCTAAGAAGAGTGCAAGGAGATGTGTAGAGGGCAAGAGCTACCACATGACTATTGGCTGGAAAGGGTAGTAAATCACAAGATAACCAACACCGACAAGGTCTAGCTTGAGTACCAAACAAAGGATAAGTACCAGGACAAAATGTTCTCAACAGAAAGCATGAAACAGCAAATTCGATGCTATTGGGTACCAAGGTACCACTGTAGTCAGAAAGCTTCAACCAATAATGGGTATGGCTAATGCCAATTATGAATTTGAAGTTTTAAGAAGAGTACATTATTTCTTAAAACTTACCCTATTGGTTCTCAAATAATGACAGTTTTCATTCATATTTTTTAAATGTATTTTTATCAGGATAATAATACACAACCTTTTCTGATATTTATTGTCTTTAGAAAGGTGGGGAATGGTTGCCTCTGGTATAGAACAGTTGCCCTGAACTTGAATATTTGTTACAAAAAAACCCGCAGCAGAATGTTTTATCATTTAATCAATGTTTCAAATTCTCTACCTGTTCTAATTAACAAGTAAATTAAATTAAATTAACAAGTAACTTTCATGAATAAGAACCTACCTAAGGAAAGTCTCAGGGGTGTCCAGCCATGGCAGATTTGTGCTAGCTGGGGAATTCTGGGAATTGAAGTCCACAAGTATTAAAGGTTGCCAAGGTTGGACATCCCTGCTTTTCAAGATCACTTCCTACAAAAGAAATAGGTTCCCAAACAAGACAGTTCAGACAAAAATATTATTAATGGGCTTTTAAACAGTACATTTTATTGATCATTTTCTCTGCCTCTTTCAAAAGGCTCAGGTGTTCTTGTCCTCCATTGTAACCTTCCTGTGTTTTTCTACCAGTGCCTGGTTTCATTCTAATTTCTGGAAAACAAGTATATAGGCAGTAAATATGCCAACTAGTGATTCTCAATGTCAGCCACTTTAAGATGTGTGGATGCTGGCTAAGAATTGTGGGAGTTGAAATTCACACATCTTAAAGTTGCTGACGTTGAGAAACACTGACTTAGGATTTATTTATCATTTGCAAGTCAAAGAAAAGAGAGTCTATAATTCCTTTTTCTTTATGCAGCCTTCATGGAAGTCCTCTGACAGATGCTGGTCTGGCCATTCTCAACCCAGCTTTATCCATCCATCCATCCCTCGTGGCCTTGGATTTGGGGGACTGCATGCTGGGGGATGAAGGTATCAACTTGATTTGTGGCCTTCTTCCTCCTGATGGGGCCAAGTCAGGTAAGGAAGAGAGGACATGTCATCTTTTGCAGCTGTCTCTTTGGGGGAGGTTTATTCCACCAAAGCAAAAGGGACTGTGGGAGTGACAAGAGTACCTTATCCAAAAGAAATTATGGCTTTGGTTTCTTAGTGCAATGGGATCAAATGGAAATCCTCTGGTAGATGGCAAGGCTTTAAGGGAGTTAAGAATAAATGAGTTTCAAGCAAAATGTTTTTAAATGTTTAATAAAATTATATTTAAAAATGATTTTCAACTCTTCACAGGCAATATTAAGAACAGATGTGTACTTCTTTCATGTGAAACTAGAATGGGTTTTTGAATACACATACACACACAAATATGTGAAGCATTCTTCTACAACATAAAAAAGGTTTTCTGTAAATACGATGCATTTGTTTTCAGCAAAACAACTAAATATAGCAAAATTCAAACAAATTTGGAATTATTAGAAATAATACCAGAGAGTGCTTGACTGAGTAAAATGCCCCCACTCCCCCATTCTTCACTAATTTCTAACCCAGATTCCAGTAGGAATTCAAGAGTGGAAATGCTGAATGTATATTCTGCTGAATATGGTTCTTTGGTCTAATACAAAAATAAATGAATAAATCTGTACTTATATATACATATAATCACACACACACGTACACACACACACACACACACGTACACACACACTGTAGGGGGTCTGCTCTGATTTAGGTCAATCATATTAGAATGATAACATCCAAGCATAAAGTTTTGGTCAGGGCATCGAAGATTTGATAATTGGAAATAATACCATCATGTGGAGTTTAATAAAGTCTGGAGTTGTCTCAAAGAGAAATGGGCGGCAAACAAAGTCTAATCAATAATACCACAATGACTAAGTTCTGTTGGTTTTGTTTGTGTTGTTTTCTGTAAAAACTCAGCTAAGTCCAGGACAAAATCATAAGACTGGATTTCTTTTATTTCCAAAACTCTTTTTAAAGGATTTAAAGCATTCCAGCTAGATTAGGAAACTCAAACCAACAGAGGAAAGATTAGTGTAATCTAAACATTGTGTAAATAAATTTGTGCTCAAGCTTCATTTGTGACCAATCTAGACTGCTGATACAATAGTGTGCACAATACAAATGTAGCTGTTAAGAAGTTGGATGGAACAGTTCTACCTGGCCAAAACATTATAGGGGCAGATCTGGGTATCTCTTAACAGCTGAGCAACCACTTTTGCAACATTTATAGGCAGTTAGTTCTATTTACCTAAGGAAGAAAAATTGTTTGGGGCATTTTCAAACAGTTTCTGCCTGATAAGAAACCACTGCTGTATAGAAAGCAACGTACCGAGATCTATAAAATCTGATTTGCTCTGCATACATATTTTCAATTTGCCTACTGTCTGTTTTTGATTAGGGGTTTTTTAAACAACCTGCCTCCCTTTTTTCCATTAGGAAAATTGATAATTAATAATTCCTCAGTACACAATAGATTGCAAGAGGTTATAAAGCTCTCTTGCACTAGCTGATGTTAAAGAAAGTACCACTATCTTATTATTCAAATATAAACAAATGGAAAAATGTATATTGTTTTTTCTTTTCTTTTCCAAGTTGGAATTAAATAGATAGAATAGAATTCTTTATTGGCCAAGTGTGATTGGACACACAAGGAATTTGTCCTGGTGCAAATGCTCTCAGTGTACATAAAAGAAAAGATACATTCGTCAAGAATCATAAGGTACAACACTTAATGATAGTCATAGGGTACAATAAACAATCAAATCATACTAGGAAACAGTCAATATAAATCATAAGGGTACAAGCAACAAAGTTACAGAATTAGACTGTGACCATGATTATTACTTTTGACCTTCAGTTAAGGACAAAGTTTTTTTTAATAGAAAACAATCATTTGAGGTTGCTGGTAGTAATTGTACTTTTTTAAGCATTCATCCTTAGGAATTCAATCAAGTGCTGATTTTAAATGGACAGAAGTTACATAAATGAACTTCCTAATGTTATGGTATATTTTAAAAATTAAGTAATAAGTAATGCAATGTTGTTTTTCTGATTATCTAAAACCATAATAATCTTCCCCGGAACATATAGCTGTATATCTTTATTTGATTGAATATTGTAACATCTTGTCTAATTATATAGTCTCTATAGTATAGTATGTTTGCCCACATTATCAGTTCAGCTGATCAGACATATGCATTCATATGTAGAAGTGTACAATGCTAATCAGCTGTGGAAATGTATACCTAAGTCAAAGGGTAATGAATATATACAACATTTTAAGCACATATTCACAATATAGCTTAATAAACAATCTTCTGTTTTGAAAGTATATTTTTGTTTATAGCATCCTGGGCTTGTAGACGAGACATATAAACTGCCATGCAGGTCAATCTGTTATATTTATCTTTTTAATTTCATAACCTCAGTTCTCAACTTATGACCACAATTGAGCACAAAGTTTCCGCTACTAAAAAGGCAGTTGCTGAGTAAGTTCTGCAATAGTTGTTAAGTGAATCATAGTTTTTCAGCAAAGTTGACTTTCCTCATTGTCCTTGCTTGGCGGAAACTGGCTGGGAAGGTTACAAAAAGGTATGACCCATGACCTCGGGTCAGTGCCGTTGTCATAAATACATGCCAGTTGCCAAATTTTGACCAGTCATAAGTGTGAAAAATGTCACAAGTCACTTTTTTTAGTGCCATTGTAACTTTGAACGGTCACTGAACAGAAGGGTTGTGAGTCAAGGGCTACCTGTAGCTATTGTTTGGATTGGAGAATCAGAGAGCAGAACTTCAAATATTCCTGAAACAGCTTTCCCCAATCTCGTGCTCCAGAAGTTGTAGGACTGCAAGTTAGGAATTCTGTGGTTAGGATTTTTGTTCTCATTTCAGCACATCTGAACAGCATTAATTGGGGGAAGGTGGAACATGATCAGATATTTAGCTTATTGTTCCATTATTGTGACAATTGGGGTGGTAAAATAATAACACTGTTGAAGCTTGCCTGTCAGCCACTCAAGCAACTTGAGCTTCTTTTGCTCCTGAAAATGTTTTGCTTCACTTCTAGTTTCTCCATATCTAACATGGATCACCAGATAATTGTAGTGCTAGTTTGAACAATAGCGTGTTGAAAGTATATTTTGAGGTTAGTTGATCAGGGTTGGGTAAGTTTCATCTGCATTAATAATTCAGTGATATCAACTCTGAATGGAAGAGGCTTTGTAAAAGTTGCCTTGAGGTCACTTGGCTCTTCTTTCTTTTATACCTAGGATTGAAGGAACTGACTCTCAGTGCAAATTCTGGCATCACCCCCAAGGGATGGGGACGTCTGGCTATTGCAGTGGCTCATAGTTCACAGGTGCGAGTGTTGAACTTGGACTACAATCCCCTGGGTGAGAGGATTATTTGGATTTGGATACTTGGCAGTGTTTGTGTATCCTTCCGGCTATTAGAGATCTTGTTTGGCTGCTACAGGTTATAACATTTAAGGCTTGCATCTTAAAATAAATCCAGATAATACCCAACGGAGCTACTTAGAAGGCCATTATGTCTTCACGGTTAGGGAAAAAAGTCAAATTGTCCTATGCCATGGATGCCCAATTTTTGGATCTGCCTGAGCCTCATTGACTGAAGTGGAATTGTCTTGGGCAGCATATAAAATATGTAGTTAATGGATGTAAATAACAAACTTTAATTTTTGTTATAAATCTCGTAGGGCTGCCTTATTTGCTGTCCAGGCGGCCTGTGGATTTGACATGGTTGCCTTATACCAACAGTAATTTAAAAGTAGTTTATTCTGTCCTCTAATCAAGAGGATCTAAGGACTATGAGAAGGCTACTTGGGGAAAAAAAGCAAACTTGCAGCTGTGAAGCTGGTTTCTACAAAATCCGCCCAATTGTGCCAGCTTATCCGGTGTTTTCTATCCCAACCTTCTATAGCGCATTGTCTTCTGGATGTGTTGGGACTGTACCTCCCCCACCTGATCTTCAAAGGCTGGTAGGGACTTGGTAAATTTTCAGTCAGGTCTCCCCACAATCTAGTTTTTTTTCCCCTTGTCTGTAAGCCAGGACCATTTTGTCAGGAATAATCTTCTATCCACATGCTTAAAATAGAAGCAATAAAAGAAGGCTTAAGAAAACCACTCCATAATTGAAAGCTGAAAACACAAAACCAAAACTGCCATCGTCACATAGTCTATTCTGGAAAAGTAGGACGGAGGACTACCTCATTCTACGCAAAGGAAGGGCAGCAGAGCACTGTTGGGACATCTGGAATCAAGATTATGAGCTTCTCCTTCAGACTCTGTGGCAGTACCTCGTTTGCGGGGTCATTGGCTGGATTCTATCCCACATCCTGTACATCTTTACCCCTGGGCTTGGTGAGCATAAGTTATCCCTTTCCCAGCTGCCGCTTCAAAAAATAGCAAGGCAAAGAGGCGTTCAAACAGTGGTTGCCATGGAAACTTCTTCTCTTCCCGGCTGCATTGCTGAGCTGATTTGGCAGCTGGTGAGCCAGGCTGCTCTGTACTACTTACCCCACTAAAGGAGATAGATGTGAACATCTTGGCCATACTTGTGCATGCCCTACCTCACCTTGCTGTCTCAGGATGAATACCCCCCCTTTCCTCCCCTCCATCTCAGTTCCCATGGAGAAGTGCATATCTTTTTATCTGCTAACCAATCATAAGCTGCTAGAGCTAGAGGGCTACCCAGAGACAAGGAGAGAATGATTACTGAAGAGATTTGCTCAGTGTCTAAGGATTTTATTTGATTTTTTTTTTTGCTATTGTTGGGTTATAGTTTGCCAAGGATGAAAAGCAGGAGGAAAAGGAGAATTTCCTCACCGTTGCCTAGCATCTTGCACTGTCAACACACAGTAAAGTATTAACTCAGCATCGTGTTTATAAAGCTGCAACTATGGAATTCAGCATTAGAACCATAATCTGAGGGAAAGCAGAGAAACTTTCAGCATTCAGATGAGTGCGGATGTCCTTCATATTCTGCTACTCTTGAAATGGGTGCATCTGGTGGAGCTGCACTATGTTTTTCTCACATCTCCTGTCTTTCTGTTCCATAGGTGACCAGATAGCAGCAATGCTGGCTGTTTCAGTGGCATCCAGCCGCACCTTAGAAGTCTTAGACTTGGAAGGGACAGGACTTACCAACCAGTCAGCTATGGTAAGGCAGTATCTTTGTTGCCCTTATTTCTCAGTCCTGAAAGTCAGTGTGACAAACACTTGCACATAATCGCCCACCAGTGTATTTTTCCTTTTCTCAAGGAACCCAAGAATTTGCAATTACTTAAAACTTTATGGTGTGGAAGACATCCTACCTCCCATTAGATTTTGGTTTGATGTGAAGGGAATGGGTTTATTTGGTGTTTTTTTTCCACCAAAAGAGATGGACACACTCACAGGTGTTGGATAGGGTGAATTAGTGATAAAAGAACAGTACCATTCTATGCAGAACTTGCTCTATGTAATTATTGTAATTGGGAATAGGAGGAAATATAACTGTTTTAGGTTAATTGGCCATTCCATCCTTGTTAACCCCTCGTCATCGTAAGTACACTTTAGATCTTGTAGGAGTCTGTCTAAGTTGGTCACCAGGACCAAACGTTTATTCTTCCAAGCTTTCAGGCCCGTGTTGAAGCTCATCCTCAGAGAACTTTTCTCTTCAGAATATGTGCACATGACTGTTCTGAGTTGTATTTATATGATGCCTCTGTTGTATGTGGCTTTTCGTTGTTCCTTCTATTTATATGATGTCTGTGTGTGGTTTTTAGCTGTTAATTAGGGTGCTGATGGCCGGCTATTAAGTACTTAGTTGTTGTTTCCTTGTGCCACCACACTTGGCTCCTAAATACATGGTAAGCTGGTGGTGGTACATCATCACCCCTATTGACTGATCAAGGGCCCGTTTCCCAGGCTTCAATAATTTCTCTGGCTATTTTTGTCCCTGCTCAGCCAACAATCTTAATAGCTGCAAAATTGAATACATGTCCTTGTTCATTGCAATGAGTTTAGGTCCCCTCATCTAACTGCTTGCTCTTGTTCTTGCAGTCTGGTGGTTAGCTTCCTTCCAATCTGTCACAGGGGCAAATCATGCAGGGAATCTGGTAAATTACTTTAAAAGTTTCTCCCACCTCCAACTGATGTTTGTAGTGCATTTTTCTCCCTTGGTTACCTGGTGACTAGAGTGAGCTGTTTTTCATGATGCCCCTGTTCTAACTCAATTCAGATCCTATTGGACATGGTGGAAAACTATCCAACAGCTCTGAAGACATTGATCCTGGCAGAGAACAACATTAGTCCTGAACTACAGCAGCAAATCTCAGACCTTCTTTCAGAGGGAGAGGAAGATGATGAGACTGTGAACCATGAAGTGATGGCCAGAGAGAAGAATTCCTGGATCTGTCAAAGCAGTAAGATTAGTTCCCTCTTGAGAATGGGAGGTGACACTGTGTGGGAGATTTACATGCATGTGGAATTAGGATACTACTTTTTTTGTCTTTTGATTTATTTGGAAAGAGGAAAATAATTTTCTTTACTAGAACACTAATCATTTAATCTTTAGAATGTTTCTATCATACTGTAAAACTAATTTGTATTTCAGTCAGTTGATCTGACTTTATAAGGGGGAAAAGTATATTTAGCTATGTAGAACAGTTTAAACAGACCAGATACTTAAACAGCCCACTAGTTGAGACTCCTAGTGATGAGATGCTTTTTCAAAAATAGAGGAATTCTATATTTCAGATCACCATATAAATTGATGGAGAATGGACATGTTCACATTCTTGTAATATTGAAGTTTTGATACTTGTATCTCCAAATTGTATTGTTACTTCATCCCAATATTTATTTGTATTAGCATAATTGGCATAGTTCATCTGGAACTGAAATTCCTCTTTCAGGATGAAATCTTAATAGAAGCCGATGGATACTAAATTTGAATATAAACTAATAGTTAATGCTTTCATGGAGATGGCAAGCCACTTCCAAAATCTTTTCAAGAAAACTGCAGGGAAGACTTCTGGGAAAGAAATGACAAGCTGAAGATGGCACCGCAAAGGTTGAAGCTGACCATGACAGAATGAAGACCCAGCAAGTAGACTGCCTCTCCATAATTTATCTCTGGACAATGAGAGGACTTGAGATCACCCACAAGTGCTCCAGATAGTTGGTCCTCATGGGGAGATCACAAGAAAGTGATCTCAGTAGCTTTAAAGCTCTGGGAGATGAGGGAATAGCTATCTTGTTCAAACTCCATTTGGCTCCTCAAAAAGACACTTGGCTTGCATACTTCCTTTCCTAATCACTTTTGGAAAATATTTGTTAACTGCTTTTCAGCTATTAGGAACTTTCAAATCAACAAATTTTACAACACCCAGTGAGTCTCCTTCAATCCTTTATAAGTTTGAAATAGCAATAGCCTTTAGTCTTATATACTGCTTTACAGGGCTTTACAGCCCTTTCTAAGCAGGTTACAGAGTCAGCATATTGCCCCCAACAATCTGGGTCTTTATTTTACTGACCTCTGAAGGATGGAGTCAACATAACAGTTGTAAATCTGTTAAAAAGTTATTATCCAGGGTTATTCTGTCTTACTATTTGTAATTCCATTTTGTCGGTCATCTCCAACTTATAGTCCAGAATTTATTTCCAAGTATTTCTGCATTAATACTTGTTCATCCCTTTCTTGTCAGTCTTCCAAAATATTCCGTCACAGTTATTGTTTCTTTTTTGGAAGTAATACATTCTTATACTGTAGGAAAACACTGTTGCTGATTAGCTATCAGACGCTAACCCCATTCTTCAAAAATTTCCTGAAATGTCTCAAATGTTGTTTGTCATTGGTAGGTTTCACAAAAGACTCTTTTCTTTTCTTCTGCCTGAAGGCTTTAGTCCCCTCTAGTGTTTTATTTTTAAAATTGCAAAATTTAAATTTCTATTGCTTATTTTCTAATAGACTTAATTCATATTCCCATGAAAAATACTGGATTTAATTATTTCCCAAAGCATTTAACAAAATATTTCAAATGTCTGAACCCCTAATTTGTTTCTAACTTTTTAAGATTAAGTTCTTATTCAGCTTTTTGCTGTTTACCTCAATTTTTTTTAATTATTCAGGCTGTTAATTTATCTTTTGTACTGAAACAAATGTTAACTCACTAGGTGATTTTACAAACTTGTTGCTTTGAAGATTTCTTGCAACTTTACAGTAATTACACTTCCAATGTGTTTAGAAAGTGAGACTTAATGAACCTGGTGTTCTTAAAAGGTTCTGCTGCAGTTGAGGATGGCTTCCTTTGACTCCTAGTGCTGAAACCTGCAGGAAACTGCGGTTATCACTAGATAGAGATGGCTGGATTTTTGCTGTTGTGATTTTGAGACGAAGTTAAAAGAAAAATTCACAGGCTGAAAATTAACCATTTTGCTTTTGGATTTTGGAAGCACTATCTACGGGGCCGAAAGGAAGATAAAAAGTTGCCAGTGTCAATGCTAAAGAAACTTTTTTCCATTTCAGATTCTAGTTCCCAGATGGTCTTGGTAACATCAGGCCTTGGAGAAAGTCTATTAGCGGAAACAGAGATGTGAACAGAATGTCTGATGAGAAAAATATTTCCATGTACTGTATTTGGAAAGATCACATATTGGTAGAAATGTGTATTTTCACACATCTTGTGTAATGGTCTACTGTGCTTCTGAATTCATGTGTGCACAAAGCAGAGATAGGAAAGCTGATATGCCTGTATGCAGATACTGGGCTGTGTGACTGAAGATCCACTTCTTTTCCTACTCTGGAACCAGATCCTAATTAATCAGTCCTTATCATCTGCTTTTGATGATTCAGTTGTGGTATTTTTATATTTTGCCACACTTAACTGATCTTGAAGCTGCTTTTTTCAGATGTATATATTTATGTATAAGAGATATTCTTTTTATTGCTTGTATTTATGCTTGGGTAAAATTTTATAAAATTCACAAAAACATGGCAGAGTTCTGATCTACGTATGGATGAAAAAGCTAGAAGGGATGAGATGTACACTAAAAATAGTAACAGCTCACCTGAGCATAGCATTAGTAAAACACTTTGGCTGCTTGACTCCAAGAATCTTATTGTCTTAATGAAAAGCAGAACACTAATAGAATTATGCTGTAAGAACTTTTTCAGCCAAGGCCTACACTGGACTCAATTTCATGTACTTTGCTGTCTTTACTTTCTCAAATCCATTGTTTCACAAAACAGCAATAGGCCATTAAAAATAAAAGCTACAGCAATCACATAATTGATTGTGGAAATAATATTGATAAATTAATTTAATAAATAAAATGTTGATGCCTACCAACTCTCAAATGATTCTGGGTGGCTCTTCCAAGTTGGGGCTGAAATGAGAGGGTGTATACAGTAGTTACCAAAGACAACTTGTCAGTAAACAAGTTGCACTGCTCAGATAGCTAAGGCCAAGTAAGATGCCCAGAGTAGCACATTATCCATTTTTGCCTTCCTATCCCGCTTCAAGAGGGGACACACAGTCAACTATCCAACTAACAAAGCTGCAGGCCATAAACACATTCCACTTTCAACTCCAGAGCGTTCATCCCCTATCCCACGAGTATTACAGGGGATAGAAGCTGGCAATGCTAGATACCTAGCCCTCTCTGTCCTCAAATGGAACACTGGTGTTGAATGACATCCTCCTCCCTGAAAGTCATAGGCCAGAGATCTCTAGGATCAAGCAGGAATTCACAAAGTAGGGCCAGATTTCTTAGGTTAAACCTTCCTACTCAGCCATAGAAGTGGAGAAAGATAGAAAATACCACTATGGATGATTCAGAGCCAGATTAACTTACAGAAGCAAATATGAGAGAGAGAAAAGTAGCACGGTTCTCCTCTTGTCCCCCTTTCTTCCTCCCCAGACTTCCACTGCAACAAACTAGGCTGACTGCAAAGGGAAGACATATGATGTCAGGTTAACAAGTCATCCTGTCCTCCCACATGCAAATTTGGTTGAAGAGGAAGAGGCAGTTCTCCTTAGATGGAGCAGAAGACTAACATTCGTGCGTCAGATCCATCAGGCTTTTCCAAAAGGCAATCTTTCCACAACTAATTGGGGTGGGGGGGTAGTCTGTAAGTCCCTAGACTAAAAGAATCAGAATCATTTGCTTCTATGGATCCCGTGTTATATCTGTTGTAATTGGGTGTTTGTAATAGAGAGAACTTCCTTTTTTTGCTTCCATTTTCTGAAGTACCTAATACTGTAACGTACTCAAGACAGAATGAGGAACTCCAGGGATGACAAAGTGGGGCTTTGGCCTACAAATTCAATAACTTTCCAAAGGCATTCCTGGACCTGTTCCCATGATACCTCTGATTTTGGAAGCTAAAAGTATATAAAGATGAAAAAGATGCTTTTAGGATATCCACAGGACAGAGTGAAGGTTATGTAACACAGAACCCATTAACTGCCTTAGTCCTATTACTAAGAGCCCTCCTTGCCTATTCCATTTTTCCTAGATTTTTGATCCCATGGCCAAGGCAGGAGAAGGCATAATCATAATAGCCAGCCTGGCTTTATGGCATATATTAACCTAAATGACAATACAGGTAGACTACAGGAAAGCAAAGTAATAAAATCAGACCTCATATTGGGACTTTTCAAACAAGGTAATCTATTTAGAAAGCGCTTCTAGAGATATGGATCTTACTGAGATTGAAAAAAGAAACTCCTGACCAACCAACCAGCATATACGCCTATCCCTAATCACCAACGACAAAAAGGCAAAGGAACTAGGGCATAAGACTTTCCTATTCCTTCGGCTCCTACCACACCCAAAGCAGCAAATGGCGAGAAGGGATGCAAATTATTTGGGGGAGGCACAGAAACCCCACATGTGTTGTATTAGCCTTGGCTCCAGCTGGGGAAATAGTTTCTCCCACTGGCAAAAGGGAAGAAATAAGCACCAACCACTATTTCCAGATAAGTGGTGTCTAATAGAATTTGCCTTCCTGTGGGCCCCTTGTAACTTTATGTGTGTGAGTCCTAAAGACTCACTATGAATGCCTTGGGACACATCTGTAGAATTGCCATGCAGTACTCTGTGTCCTCCTTTATAAAAACCCCGTGAGCATAACTATTACAATGATTGGATGAAGCATTCTTTGGCAGAGCAGAAGGTAGTTTCTAATAGCAATGGCTATTAACTGTCCAGATGTAAAATTCCACTGTCAGGGACAGCTCTGATATACCATAAAATGCCCTGATTTTGCTAAAGATGACAACTACATTTGACTTACACAAAGTTTTTTTTACAGCAGAAGTGGCATCTAGCTTGTCTAGGTGTTGATACATACCAATTTCAGTAACTACTGTAATTCTATATAGTTTAAAACTACACACACACACTATATTTTTCGAAGCATGTTTTCTTTAGGTAATCCTGGGATTTATCATACCAAAGCTGGTGGTGGTGAAGTGTCTTCCCACAAAAAGCGTGAGAATCTTGTGGTTCTGCCCTGGGTGTGAGTAGGAAGAAGATACCACACAACAAAATCCTCTGTCCATAACTAATAAGTCCAATGAACCAACTTTTTCTTGATTAAAAATAAAATCCAAAGCAATTATATTAAAGCACACATAAATGGATCAATTAAAAAAACTTTCAAAACCTTCATTCCCCCAGGAATGTATCAACAACTAATTCAGAACCAAAGTGATAACATTACAATAGACCCGTGATGGTGATCCTATGGCATGCATGCCACAAACGGCACACAGAGCCATCTCTCTGGGCATGTCAGCTGTCACTCATTGCTCTTCTGGGTTCCAGCACACGCATCTGCGCTGGCCAGCTGGTCTTCGCATGTGCGGGAGCCCCAGAAACGGGAAGAGTATCTCCCTGGTGTGCATGCGTGTGTTGGCCAGCTGGTCTTCGCGCACACATACGCGTTAGAAACCGGAAGACCAGATGGCTGGCATACATGTGCGCACTGGGAAGCTGAGGTTCTGGTTTGTGGTGCTCCTACATGCTGCGCCAGGGAGCTGCTCTTTTGGTTTTTGGTGCGTGTGCGCTCCCGTTTTGGCACTCGGTGCCAAAAAGGTTCGCCACCACTGCAATAGACCATCACACTTTCAGTTTGAGTGAAGATGGAAAAGCATATTAGAGATTAGTTGTGATTACAGCTCATTATCTCTACTAATTTTTATATATTGGCCTTACTTCTATGTATACATTCACTTTGGTCCAACAACTACAGTATATTATTGTACAGTATTACCGTTCTAGAAAATTATATATCTCCTTTGCAAATAAAACATGAAGACCTTGAAAACCAATAGGAGGCAGCAGTGTCTGCATTTTCTAATTAGGATTTTTTTCAGTAAACCCTTCCATGGTTTATAGTTGACTTCCAACCAGAGATGTTTTAGATTTCAAATACAACCTTCAAAGTGGTTGAAGGTGAGATTGAGGTGGATATTAGAGAGCAGAATATCTAGAAGGACTCATGTTGGGAAAGGCTGGTATAAATGTATATCAAGAATTTGAAGGGATCTAAAAACCAAATACTGAAAATTAAAAAAAAAAGAATATATGCTTCTACTTTAGTAAGGGTGCCTCATGCTACACGAAGGTCTTCAGCATCCTGCTAAAGACCAAAGGTCAATTGTTACCTAACTGATTATTCTAGGGGGAAAAATGCGATTTGAATACAATCATAAAGGAAAGTTAATCTTGGTGTAATTTACAGGGAGAGTTGTATCTCAGTGGTAAAGCAAACTTTTGCATTAAGGTGGTTCCAGATTAGATCCCGTGCATTTCTGGTTAACATCATTTAGCAGGTTTTGAAAAATACCTGTGATTGCATCTTTAGAATTTTTGCAGAAGATTTCTATGGTCTGTTTCTGATTCAAGCCACAAAATAAAGAACCAACTGCGGAGACCTATTTTTAAAATAGTTTTATTTCTGCCTTTAAAATATACATTATCAGTTTGAAAATCTCAAAACAAAATGAAAAAAATCCAAAAAAACCCAAAACAAAACACACACCACCACCACCAAAACATTTTACTTGTAGGTTAACAGTCTTGAGTTGGGACTCTAAAGTGTGGGAACAGCTAAAATAAGTCAAGTTCTCCAACAAAATACTGCCAGAGGTGAAGGACTAAGAAGCCAGATTGCACAATTCACCTGATAAATTATACTATTCATTTATAATAATAAAAAAAATATTTCTTTTCTTCTGGCTTTCTTCCCCCAGCCTTTAGCCCATTAAGTTATTACCTACAGGACTACCCAAGTGCTTGGGCGGCATGTCAACAGCACTTCAAAGGTCACTTATAGAAGGGGTTAGCTTAAGGGGTTAAATGGGTACCCATAACCTCTGCAAGGTTTACATTATCCATTTTTGGCTCTTAAACCATATCCAACTTTTTTTTAAAATGTAAAAAAATCCAAAAATTTAAATCCCACCCACTTGGAGGGCTGTGAGGGCCAAAAGAGGGATGGTAGCGACCCTGAGATGATATTTTATGGGTTCCTTCTTTAGCTCAATGTACCTAAGGAGAGGAGGATTTTTTTTTTTAATCATCTAGTTATCAGCTATACTTGTGTCAGTATCGGAATGTTTTATGCAGCCAAACACAGAAAGGAGAACTGAATCTGGATTTAACATATTGTAACCGTAATCATCTCAAATCGATTCCATTGACCCAATTAGCTCATGAGAATTATTTCATTTCAACTAGATAAGATTCAACCAATACTGGTTTAAATAAATGGTCACCAAGCTGCCCTATCTCCATCAGTAACCTGATTTAAAAGAATACAGGAGGACTGGAACAGAAAAAAAAAATAGTGACCTTTGTCCTCTTCCATGTAGTGCAGAGAAAATTCAAGGAATTCACAAGCTAAATCAAGAGAATGAACGAAGAAGTAAATAAATATCAGCTGAAGAAATCAGACCACTAAGTATTATGTAAGCTAAAGGAATAATATATTTAGCGCCAGTTTATTAGCAAAAAATACTGTGTTACATCTCACTAATACAATGTAGTAGCTAGCAGCTTAACTAAAGGAATGGTCCATTAATAAGAATTTAAACACGACCATATCCAAAAGGTCAGGTATGACCAGATTGCTGTATTTGAAAAGAAAGGCCATAATATTCTCTAACAGAAAATTACCAAAATCTCATTCAAACAAATAACTGGCAAACAATTAAGGGAAGTAGCCAAGAAGTTTCTCTGGTTGCATGAATAGCATGGCAGGCTAATGAATTCAAATATGGAGGTTTGATTCTTTGATGAAAAATTCTTAACACTATGAATTTAGTCCCTCCCCTCTGACGCGCAAATAACACACAAAAACATAGCCAGAAAGGAAGAACAAAATACTGAATACAAACAGGAAACAAAAAAGGGGGAAAGGGAATAAAAGACCTTGGATAAGGCCTTGGAAAGGCACTAGTGTCAGTTTGGACCCCATATGGGGATGCCCATCTTCATCAGCCATCTCCAAGGGGGCAAACAAGAAGTATCTAATTTTGTGCCGAGAAGAGTCATCAAGAGGCAATCTGGCTGTATGGTTTAGTCTTAGATTAATGTGGATTTCTTCCTCAGCTAGTGAAATAGTTTTATTGACCAGACGTAAGATGACTCAAAATCAAAAAGCTGAGCTGTCTCTTCTACAGCATGTACCACCCCACTCCACTACACCTTTCTGCTCACCCAAAAATGGAGAGATAAGTACATATTAATAGCTGAAGACCTGAAACAGCCTTCCTCAATTTGGCATCCCCTCAGAAGTGTTGAAACCACACAAGCCTATACAGTCACACTTGCTGAGAATTTTAGCCCCTACACATCTAAAGAATAAGAGTGAGGAAGACTAATCCAAAGGAAAACATAGATAGTATACTATCACCAAGACACGATCCAAAGTATCCAAGTGATAGCTAAACAGACAGCTACACAGACTCAGTTCATTATGGCAAACAATCTAGCCCAAGTTGGGAGACTATGGCAGGGAGTCTGAGGTCTAGTTTGGCAGAAAACCCCAAGTTCCCAAATATGGAGCCCCACTCCTCATATGCAACGTGTAAAGAAATGGTAGCGGTGATTCCTGTGCCTCATCTGCCTTGTTGACCAATGCATACAGCCACAGGAAGCCTTGGAGGAACAAACAGGAACTCGTCAAAATGTTACAGAATTCACCAAAAGCTTACAGAACTTCTGTTCACTCACAGAAGGCTTCTCACTTCATTCATCTTCTTCGCCTGATGGCTTGGTGGGAGATTGAGGCAAGAAAATAGGGACTAAACATTCCTATCCTGGGCCACAAGCCAAAAAGGTAGAAATACAGGCTTCAGGTGTCTCAGGACTTAATTTGAATCAATTGGAACTGATCAGTAAGTGTGAAGGCAGAATTTTTGAAGAAATGGAAGTCAGGTGGAATCCCGCACCATGCATTTTGAGAAAGGATGCATGGAGGGGAGATAGAAAGCATATCTTTGTTTTAACTGCTCCGTTGTTCTTTTCCCTTAAGAGGGAAAGTCTGTAAGGTAATTACCACCAGATTCAATTTCACATAGTTGAGTGCTTGTGTAGATCTAAAATTGTGCTGGTTTTCCAATCATATATATTATTATAATTGGACTCAGTGTAACTATTTTCTAGATCTTGGCCTTCTAGACAAGGAGAACAGGTTGAAGACGGTAGGCACAGAGAGCACAATTCTATCTCTTATCCACACCTGAGGAGTGCTTGAACAGTCAACATAAGCACAGAAGAGTTGCCAGCATACACCCAAGTGCATCCTGGTGTTAGAGCTGCTTCCCCCTTTCCCATGTATTAAAAAGACAGTAAATACTTAAACATTGCCTAGAATTCCTGGCAAAAAAACCCGAGATGGCAATGCTTTGAGCCTCAGGGCTTGAAGGGCAACCCTGGGAAGAAAATGCAACACTCAACCTGGGTAGCCAAGACAATTCTTCTTCTCCATTCTCAAGTAAGTAAGTTGCCTTGCTCCTGAGCGTGGGTTAAGCTGTCCTTCCGATGTAAATGATGAACCCCCATTCTTTTGGGGCTGCGATGTGGGCGCCCAGGAGGTGGCTTGCTCTTGGCATCCTTGCTCTGCTCAGAAACCCCCTCCTGGCTGTTCACCCTCCTGTCCTGGAACAGCAGTTCCGGTTCTTCAGCTGGGCTCCCAGATGGGTAGTCTATGTAATCTTTGGACTTCTCTGGTGAAGAAATGACAGGCTCTGCCACCCCCTCAGTACCAGACCTTTGCAGTAATTTGCAGCTTTCGTCCTGGGAGAAATCTGTGCTGTAGTCAGAAGAGAAGTGGTTCCGGCGACTCCGAAACTCTGTGCTGTCAATGTCCACGCTTGAGTCCCTGCTTACAGTCCAGCTGCAGCTCTGCACAGATTCTTCGCCATCTGAGTAGGCGGAAGCTACCCGACCTAACTCTTGCATGGAGCGGCTGAAACGTTTCTGGAGCTCCTGTGCCGTGTCGCGGCTAAAAGCAGTCCGGTTTACTAGCACCTGCTCTGTGGCAGGAGGAGCCTTATCTACAAACATCCGTTGCCAGTTGGCTAGTAAATCCTCCTCGGAGCTGGCAGAGCTGGCAAATGTGCTGGGAACCTGTGGGGGGCTGCTGAAGGGGCTGCTTTGAGAAGATCCAGGAACCCGGCTACACTTGGGGGAAGGTTGGTAGGAGCAGCTGGAGGCAGAGCGTTGACCTGAGGCTGGGCTGCTGGGAAAGGGGCGCTGCCTGTCACAGTTCTCATCCTCCCCCTGGACTAAGCTCAAAGAGATAGCTTGGCGGGTAGCATAAGTACAATTGGGCAGCGGGCTGTTCTTTGGAATCCGCACCTTGTCCTCGGAAAACTCAATGACTTTGCGCCCTGGATACATGGGGTGGGGAGGGGGAGGGGTGGGATATGGGCTTAGTTTCTCAAAAGTAGGCACCTCCTTTGGCAGGCTCTCCAAGCAGTTCTGTGACTTGCAGCTTCCATTTTGCTGTCTAGATCCCTCCTTCCCCTTGCTTTCTCCTTCCCCCGAACTCACACAAGTTTCAGGAAGAGTGCCACTCATATCTACGTGCACAAAAACATCTTCAGCCATAGAGCAACTTCCACTGCTGGATTTGGCTGAGTTCAGCACAAGTGATTCTGGCTTCTCCAACACTCTAGCAATGACTGAGGTGGGCACAACATCAGAGGGAGCCAAGGTGTGCAGTTCCTCCTGGTCAGGGCCTACAGAATCCTGAGTGTTTTGCAAGTGCTTGTTGACCATATCTTGCAGCTCAGATGGAAGCTAATAAGAAAAAGACAATAGTAGTCTGGAATTAAAATAGCATATAGGAAACAGGGTAAATGGGATGGACAAATGCACCAAGGTGTCTGCAGAGATTTCTGCAAAACCCATGTAAATTGCTTGTTATAACTAAATATAACTGAAGAGTTTTTCAAATATGTTACACCCACATTCAAAATTCTTCTATTTCTATCCCGGAATCAGGGGAAATATTGTGTTTCCAATGTACATTTAGAAGAAATAGAAATATTGCATTCCTTGCTTGTGTTAGGCCAACACAATACTATTGATTGGTGGGGGAAAAAAGCTGATTGTCACACTGAATTGAATGACCAAATCCCTCCCTGCCCTTGTTATAAACTACATCTGCCAGGAAGCATCTAGTAAGTATAGGCCACTGTCTTGGCCAAACTGCCCTACAATTAGTTCAACTGATTTTGGCAACAGAACCACTTTGCACTCCCTGGAAGAATTTTCATAGACAGTCTATCAAGCAAATTATAAGCAAGGAGTATAACATTTTCATCAGCTTTCAACTCTGCAGTCACACAAATAGATTCTCTGCAGAACATTCTACAGCTGAGTTTTTAGCAGAATGTGATCCTTCCCGGCTCTCCTAAGATGCCTTCCTGCAGGACTCAGCTCTTGTTCTTTTCTCAATAAATACTGCAACAATTCCTGTAAACCATGAAAAGAAGAATGACTGGGAACATGAAAACCAGCACCAACGGCAGAGATAGAATAGGGTGAATGCAGAGGTGACATGCAGAGTCTTTGTCCCTGACCAAATGCCCTGGTGATGGGCCAGATGCATTAGGATTGCAACAACAAGCATTGTGTTAACATAAATATCCAACAGTAGAAATGTGTAAACAATGATACCTGAGAACATGATGTACCATGCTTGCAAATATAAATGAAAAAACCACCCTTATATAAATAATAGATAACTCTATATCCTAAAGGGATGTCCACAAGTCATCCGTAGGGTGAGTAGCTTGGCAGTCTATATTTGAAATAATCCATTTTTTAAAAAATGTTGAAAACCAGCATGTACATGAATCTCTTAATATTAAAGCAAGAATGTGATGGCTTTCATCAAGGCACAAAATCAATACAATGGAGCAATTTTCTTATGCAGCGGGGGGAAAAAACCCAGGCTCCAAAGAAGCACTAAAAATAAAAGTACTACTTTACTAAATAAATGCTGTACTTAGGAAAATTAATATGCAAAAAGAAAGCCCAAGAAGGACTTCCAGCTTGAAGGGCTTCGGCGACAGACAGAGATCCGCGATCATGCACGGTTTCTGTCTGGGCTCGCCGCTGGAGCGCCCTGAGCCGACTGGTTTCGGGACTAAGCCACCCCGTAGAGGTGGTGAAGAGGGGGGAGATCGCCAGCAGGGTCGAGGAGAGCCGCATCTCTCCTCCTCAGCTGGCCATTACTCCGTTTCGCGAAGGCGGTTGCAGCGGTGGTCAGAAATGGCCACCACAAAGAAGAACTCGACCGGAAAAGAATGTGCAGGAGGAAGATAAGAAGTGAAAGTTTTGGCTGACCGGGTTAAATTGTAAAAGCAACAACCAAGGTACCCTGGAATTTAAACTTAAAAAAAATAACATCGCTCCCAAAGAAAAGTCGGAAGCAGAGAAGGAAAGTGAAAAGGGAAAGGTTTGCCTTTTTTTTTCTTCTCTCTCCTTCCCTATACTGACAACTAAGAGACTTAAATAAGAAATCGGAAAAATCCGCTTTGACATCAATAGGCAATTAAGCTGAAAATAAAACAAAATGCCAAAGGGATAATAAAGATTTCTGGACATTAAAAACTTTCTTTTTCATAAGCAAGAAGGGAGAGAAAAAGAATAAGGGCAGGATCTGGAAGAGGGAGGAGACTGCCTGGAATTAAAAAGAATCTAAAGTAAAACTTCAACCAGACTTCTAAAAGATACATTTTAACTGAAACTTTGCAACTAAATAGTAAGCCCAGGAAGAGAAATTGAAAAAAAAAAGAGCAAAAAAGAAACAGCTTGTGTGTATTTGGATTATTTGGTGATCTTTGGATTTTTGATTATTATATTTGAATGACTAAAATCAACTGGGTGGTTGTTTAAAAATTTATACAGTGGCACCACTTCTGGATGAATTGAAAATGGAACTTCAAAAGTACAAAGAAGATGCACAAGAAGGGAAGGGTTCTTTTGGCTTCGTCTTTCAATTCTTAGAAATGGAGATTTGGAACTATGAGAAACAAGAAAAGACAGCAAAACAAGAAGACTGGGACAAAGAAGAAGCCATCTTTAATGAACAAGTAATTCTATGTGGGGAAGAAAAAGGAAATGGGGGAAAGAGAATGGAGAATTTAAGACTTAAAAAAACAACCAAAGAAAAGAAAAATAATTCAAAAAATAAGTATAATACTGGAAAACAACAGAAAGGGGGAATACAGAAGAGAGAAATAGAGGTAGAGAGACAAGGGGGTAAAAAGAGGAGAGAAAAGAAGAGAGGGAAGAAGGAAAGGAAAAGAAGTTACAAAGGACCGGAACAAGATATAGAGAAACAGGACCTATTTAGAGATAATGGGTGAAAATCTAACTGAAAAAGGGATTCTGTAAAAGTACATAAGATTGTATTGTTATATTCGTAATAGAAATAACTTTAGAAAATTGGAAACAACGTATGATTAAAATGAGGGATAAAATAGTTAGTGTAATTTAGTGAAATGTTTGTGAATAAAATAAGTGAAATAAAATAAATGAGAAAATTGAATTAGAAAGGAACGGGAACATTTTAATTAGTTAATGTTTTATAAAATATAAGTGAAGGGGGGGGAATCAACTATGGAAAGCTTATAATTGTTCCCATAGAAGTATGATATTTAATTGAAAAGTAATGTTAAAGATGTTTAATGAATATTAATATTAATGATAGAATTGAATTGGAATGGAATGTTGTTTTAATTATATACATTTATAATTTTTTTTCTTTTTTTAAGAATATAGTGTGTATTTTAAGAATGTACCAAGCAGAATCCGAATGGAAGTTATGTATTATATTGAATTACAACTTTAGGGAAAAGATATAAAAGCGTCATACTCCAATCAGTAACTACAGGAGAAATTTTGTTTAATGAGAAAAGATAATATATAATTGAAACAGGACAGACAAAAAATATAAATACAATGATTTGAATTGAGATGAGATAATTAAAATAAAATTGAGAAAATTAAAAGAGGGGAGAAGTTATGCAGAAAATGTAAAATAGTAATAAGATATGGAATAGAATATAAAAATCAGCATGAACCTGAATTTGTATCTGTACGAAGAAATGTAACTCGGGATTATGCTGCTTTCAAAAAAGATGTTTTATTTGTTTGTTTTCTTTCTCTTTGTGAAAACTTAAATAAAATTTACAAAAAAAAAAGAAAGCCCAAGAAAAGTCACTTAATCTAAATCTCCAAGGCAGAATGTTCAAATAATCTTTTGATGCTGTTGATGCCACTGGGGCAATAAACGGCAGGAAAGCAGCAGCCATGTCGTTTGAGCATAAGCTCAAATTCTCAAGCACAGGAATGAATCAAGTGCTCAATTCTACAATATTTTCAAGAATATTCTGTTCAAGTGTAAGGCCTATCTGTATGGTACATAAAGAACACAAAGAAGCACAATGACATCACTAGAATTCATAGCATATTCAATATCTATAGGAATTAATAGCATTTTGGTCTGGTCTCCATTAGCCTGAACTGAAAGCATCTCATTTTAACTAAAATAATATGAAATTCTTGAGATAGAGTGGGATGTTTGAAGATGTCAGTAGCAGCTGATTCTAGACATCAGAATATATACAGGTTAGTTGAAAAATTCATGAAATAATTGATTCTACTGGTGTGTTATTGCAATATTGAAATGGGAGAAAGCAAGTGTTTAAAAATAGTTTTAATGTATAAATGTGTTCTATATACTTATATAATTGTAGAGGTGCCATTTAATTATGGAATAATATAGTATAACTGAAGATGAATTTATCTCTTCCAATAAAGAAAGGGTAGATTTCATATACTGATTTTCAAATCTATCAATATATTTTAAAACGTATTATGCAAACATCATCTATTAATCTTGTTCCTATTTTTAAAAGCTGCAATGAATGTAAGTATATGTATAAACAAAGTATAAATGTTTCAACTGTATTTGATGTTAAATCTTGGTCCCAATTCAACTCCGAGTCCAATGATACACCAGTACCAGAAGACTTTCAACATCTACCTTGGGAATAAATCTAACACTATAAAGATCTGTTGGATAAGTAAGGAATCCTTCTCAGTGGTGATAACAATACTTTAGAAACACTGTCAAGAGACAGTAAGTCCTTTCCCTTCATATATTTTGTATATAGCTTTCTGTTTAAGATTGCCATCAGTTTAACTCACAGATTTTTACCCTGAAAGCAGATTTGAACAATATATCTTTTTTTTTTTTAACAAAAGCTGTTAGGACTTCTAGTTGACCATGATTGTATTTGTATACTATTCTGCAAGCCTGAAAACCAGCAAAAATATACTCACCGTAATGGTAAAAGCAATAGCAAGAACATACTGAACTTTGGAACAGATTTGTGATATTTATGAAATCTGGAAATCTACCAGATATTTAAACTTCCTAGTCTAACTAGTTTCCTTATTTTCTGTCCTGCTACTAAATTGCCTCCTCACTTTAGTTAAAAAACCCTGTAGTAAACAGATACTTGTACTGGATTACTAGTTCACTTATAAATAACTCATTGTGCTGAGGATTCACATAGAAATGGACAGCTGAAACAAAAAGAGTAAAGTTAGAATGAAGCAGGAAACCTGCAATTCATGAAACTCTTTTCAGGAACCTACTGAATTTAAAGCCAATCAGGCACTGAGAACGAGAAACAACATGTACAAAATGACTGTCATTAACTGTTTTGCAGGAAACAGAAATCCCAGAAAAATAAGGACATGCAGTTCATCCCAGGCCATTAAAGTGATTCACCAGTCCTCAAACCCATTCAGGTTTTTACTCACATCAGCAAATTTGTGGTTTCGAAAGTGAGATTTGTTGCACTTCAGGAGCTGCACTGCTAAGTTACAGTCTAGCCGGTATCGCTCCTGTCAAGACAACACATCATAATTGAAGAGACATAGCTTGAAATGGTTCACAACAATGTGATATCCCAGGCAAAACTACAGAAGTATTCCATAATGATGAAAACGAAACAACTGAGAACTTGCAAGTTTACAGCAACCCAGAATCTGGCAGCTGAAGGCTAAGGGCAGAACCAGTCTTGATCATATCAATTTCCCTCACAAGTCCCAATGAACATTTTAGAAAAATAAAAATGCATTAAAATGTACAGCTACTATCGTCTACTACCTGTTCTAGCTACTAGCCTCTTCTCCATTGGGGCTGATTAAAACTTTTGCAATTTGACAAGTTCATTCACAAACAAGAATAGTTATTTTTAAAACAGGCTTTATGAAAGAAAACTACTGTAAACGGAGAACTTTATAGCTTTAGAAACAGAAGTCAGTAAATAAGGCCTAAGAAAAGGCCTAGACCAGGGGTGTCAAACACAAATTCATTGAGCGCCACATCAGGGTTGTATTTGACCTTGGGGGAGGGCAGCTTGATGTCACTCGTGTCAGGGGCACCTATGGTGACCTGAGAGCTCTCTGACAGTGAAAATGGGCTCCTGAGTTCTGTTTTTACTGGCAGAGGCACCACGGGCCAGTCATTTGCTGTTTCCAGGACAACCCCGTGGGTGAGATCTAAGCATCCCAAGGGCCAGATCTGGCCTGCGGGCCTTGAGTTTGACCCCTCCAGACTAGACCATATTTAGAGATAGGACCATATAGAAGTGATATGTAGGCCAGGCTGATGCATCAGTGTACAAAGCTAAAAGGAAAAATAATAAAAATTTAAAAAAAAATTAAAAAAACAACTCACTGGACAAAAAATGTTTCAGAATCCTTGGTAAAAGTCTGATAGAATAACCCAAGTTATATGGCTGTCAGTTAATGCACTGCATTTCCATACCTAGGTCCTCAAGATATGCTGGCATATGAATCATATCAAGTGGCAAACCCCATATTCATAATTTTTGTACATTTGAGAAAAGCTGTTCTAAACGAAACACTGATAAAGCATCCCAATTTTCACAATCTATCTTCTTGAAAAAGTTTAGCATCAATATGTTGCTTGGATAGCAATTGGACTCTCTTATACACTGCTGGTCTTTTTTTTTAGAATGGTGTTTATTGATCTTTAGCAGGCTGTCGTGTGCTGCTGTTAGGAATGTAAGTCACCTAACAGCTATTTGGGTTGGAAATATATGAACCAGGATAGACATTTTAATACTGTATCTTTAAGAAAATGCAAAAACTGTAATTGGATGTGGTTTCTCAAACAGCCATAAGGTGGAGCCAGAAACCTGGGTTGTTTTAATCTTAGTCTCAAAAGAGTCTCAGAAGAGAGTGTGTCTCAGTGAGTCTGTTTTCCTTCTGTTGGAGAATTTTGCCGTTCCCCCTAATTGACTGTTATTCTTGAATTTGATGTAAGTCTGATACTGAACTGTTTTTTGATACTGGACTTTGTTATTGGATTATCTCTGGACTGAAAACTGACTGATCTTACCTGTGAATGACTTTGGACTGCTTATTTTGAATTTTGCTTAAACCTTTATTGAAAGTAAAAAACCTACATTTACTCTACAGTGTATCTGTGTGCTGTGTGTGTATTATTCAAACACTTCTCTCAATACGTCTCCCTGTATGCACTCATTCTCCTAATGGGGAATTACCTCAACAGCTGCTCGTCACAGAACTTTAAACACTAATATACTTAAGGATAAGCCTATTAATTATTTCTATTTCTTACACAAGATCAATGCTTTGAAAAAAAGTTTGCTTACATTAAGCTCTTCTAGTTTATTGATAGTTGTTTTGGCATCCAGAAGCTTATTGGTGAGCTCCACAATTTCCCAATCAAGAGTTTTCCGATCCATTTCAGCTTTTTTAATCTAGAGAATAGCAATATACAGGTGATGAGTCATATTAGTCAACAATTGGGCTGCCTTCATATCTTTGCCCTCTTCTCTTCCACACCCTACCCAACTCTAAAAATCAAACTCCTTTTGTTTCTTTAGCAAAAGAAGATAGGAGGTTTACGTAACCCGGGTAATTTTTTGTGTGTGTCTTAGGAAGGCATTACTTAGGAACGCAAACTATGTTTGAGTGTTCATTGACTTCTTCATAACTGTTTGCAAAAACATCATGCAAACATGAAGAATACTCTTTAAATCAGGCATTATGTTTTAAACTAGGCTGGGTGGGCATGAGAAGAGCCGAGCGAGCATCTCTGCTGCTGCTACCCTTGATGCTCCAGCCTC